TTGGTTGAAAGAAATTGATATACAGAGGGTAGTCGACGCTGGCGATGACACTGATTTGAAAGAAATCGATATACAAAGGGGTAAATAAGGTTAATGATTTTGTTCCTTCATTTCTTGCTTCTTTGTTTCAAATCAAGTTCACATTGGGTTTATGTGTTTATAGTTATCCATGGATTTGATTAAAGATTGGCCAGTGATGCATACCAAGTGTCCGATCATTGGTCAAGAATTACAGATGGACAAAATCAATACTTATCATCCATTCATTGGATCATCATAGCTCAAAGTGGTAATTTCCTTGTAAATTTTTTCTTTTGCTTACTTAACGAGGTTTGATTTTGGTCATTTTGCCACTTAACTTTATAAAAATACATGTCACTTATTACTTTTAGATCAAGAAAGACAATATTTCATTATTATTTTTTTAAACAGTTAGTGTTATATTTTTATAGGTCATGGTAAGGTTCAGAATGTCTGATTAATTTATTTTCTTGAAAAAAACATATGTATGAATCAGATGCATATTTTTTCTTGAAAAAATAGTTCAAATGTACAATGCAATGGTTCACTGCAATGATCGCTCAACATCCTTGAGGTAATTGTCACATGCATCCTCTTCAATGATTTGTAAAATCTCATTAACTAGAATCCGATCTTTAGTATCCTGAACTTCAATATCTGAAACTTGGATGCTAAATCAACAGGGGTTGAACATGGCTTCTTTTCTTCCTCTTCTAGAACTGGTTCTGTTGGCATCACATATAAAACATAACTTTCATCATTATTACGTGTGCTCACTTGTTGCAACTTATCTTCTACATCCAGATCCATAACATCCATGCCTTTAGTAGTCAGAACTTCCATTGTTGCCTCAAGATTGACATCAGCAAGTTGAATTCGACTTGCCTCATCTAAAATTGGTGAAACTTCCATGTACATATCTTGCAACCCTTCTACCAAATCCCCATTTGCAACTTGTGTAATTTTAATATCTGAAGTATGCATGGTTTCTGGACACGTTGAATCTTTTGCATCACTCTTTGTAATGTCTTTAGTTTCTACCTCAAGCAACTCATCCATGGCTTCAATATGTGAAACTTGCATAGTTTCAAGCTTGACAGATTCCGATGGATCCTCAGTTTCATTAATGACTTGTAAAATTCCATCATCCGAGTTCAGACCAATAATATCCTGAAGTTCAATATCTGAAACTTACATGGTGGGCTTGAACTCAAGAGGGCTTGATTGGGTCGGCTTACCTCCGTTTATACTCTTATTGCTTTTGGCCTATAAAACCATTCTCATACTTTACTCTTAATGTCATTTCCATTATCATGGTTGCACATGTATATGCTTATTCATATGTATATGCATATGTCATATACTTATGAATATGCATATACTTATGAATATGCATATTCAAGAAAAACAGATTGAGAGCATTTGGTTGAAAGAAATCGAGATACAGAGGGTAGTTCTTTTGATCCGTTCATATTTCCTTCTTATTTTACCTTGTCTTGACATGGTCTTGAACTATTGAGTCAATTGAAGCTGAGATTTAAGCCAATCGCTTATTTCATAGTCAATGAATACCCAACTCCCCTCTGCCACCACAATCAAGCATCGCCACAACAACTACTCTCTTCATTCTATCTTCTCTAGAACACCAAAGTAATAAGTGCCTCTTTTCATTTTATATCTATATTGATACTGTTTGGATTTCTTGGTTGATCCCTGTTTTGTGGTTGGTAATATCGATATTTTTTTTTCAGGCGATGTTTCCCAAGAATCCAGGATGAAGGTAAATTGAAATAAATGGGATTAAGAATTTCAGGTAAGTTGCTTCGATTTTGATTTACATTGATTTAATTCTCTCAAGGATTTTGGGGGAAATTTTAAACGATTGTTCGGGCATATATGTTTTAGGGTTCATATGTTCCTGGTTAAATATGCATTTGATTTTGATTTTGTTAAATATAACCAAAATTGTTCATTTTTTCAATAGAAGCAACATGTGATGTTAATGCCACTAATGCCTATGACATGTCACCTTCTTCAAGTTCCATATTATTTTCTATATAAATCTGTAAATTCTATGTAAACTCTTCCATATTAAGTCTAATTACAGATTGAGTTTCTTCCACCACCACCTAAATCACTAGAAGCTTATTTCAAATATCAAAAAATTTGTTATGAAATTTGACATGCAGTCTACTCGAGTGCCACTACCTCTTGATTTTACCACTACCTCTTGCTTTTGCTTTTGCATATTTTTGAAAAATTCTTTTTTCATATATTTATTTCGAAATTTAAGGAATATTTTCAAATATTTAAAAAAATAAATTTAAAAAGAAAAATAAAAAAATTTAAAAAAAAAATAAAAATAAATAACAAATATGAAATCTACGTGTTATTCCATTTTTAAGCTTCTTCATCCCCGTTGTTGCCATTGTTTTTGACCTATCAAACTTTTCTCCTACCTTACTCTTAATGTTATTATCATTATCATGGTTGCATATGCATATGCTTATTCATATGCATAAGCATATGCATATGTATATACATATGTCATATACTTATTCTTATGCATGTGCATATGTCATATACTTATTTATATGCACATTAATATGCATATACATATACTTATTATTATGCATATGCATATGCTTATTCATATACATATGCATATGCATATGCTTATTCATATACATATACATATGAATATGAATATGCATACGTCATATACTTATTCTTATTCATATGCATAGGCATATGCATATGTCAAATACTTATTAAGATGCATATGCATATATCATATACTTATTCTTATATGCATATGTCATATATTTGTTCATATGCATATATATATACTTATTCTTATGAATATGTATATGCTTATTCATATACATATGTATATGCATATGTTTATTCATATGAATATGAATATGCATATGTTATATACTTATTATTATTCATATGCATAAGCATATGCATATGTCATATACTTATTAATATGCATATACATATGCTTATTCATATGCATATGTCATATACTTATTCTTATGCATATTCATATGTATATTGATAAGCATATGCATATGCATATTGATAAACATATACTTATTCATATGGATATGGATATGCATATGTATACTTTACTCTTATGCATATAGAGGCATTAAAAATATATTTTTTTAAATATGCATATGCATTTGCATATATATATATATATATATATATATATATATATATATATATATATATATATATATATATGCATATACACAAAAAAAATATGAATATGCATTAAAAATGCATTTTTTGAAATTGTTTTTTCAAATATTAATTTTGAAATATAAGGAATATTTTCACATATTTAAAAAAAATAAAAAATAAAAAAATATTAAAAAAATAATAACTAAAAAAAATTTAAAATATATGAAAATTTGCCTTATATTTTGAAAATAAGATTTAAAAAAAAATTCAAAAAAATGCATTTTAAATGCATATTTATATTTTTTATGCATATATATATATATATATATATATATATATATATATATATATATATATAAAAGCATATAATTTTTTTTATAAACCTCTTAAATATTTGTATTAACATGAACATGTTAAATCTGGTAATCAAATTCATTGTAGATAAATAGTTTTTTGGTTCTCTCTTGGCCGTCAATTTAGTTTTCCGTTGTTCTTGCCTCTCTTGGTAAGCATTTGGAGTTCACTTTAATAAACCAACTAATTTCAACTTGTGTAAATTGTTTGATATATTTTAACGAGAAATTAAATATCCTCTTACAATTTCTTTCTACCATTTTCCTACCCATGTCAAATGATGATATGTGTCATATTTAATTTTTTTAATAATATTTTAATCCAATTGTCATCGTTTAACATGGGTAGGAAGATAAGTAGGAGAAAATTGTAGGAGGATATTTAATTTCTCTATTTTAACGGTCAAAGTTTTGTTGAATCTTCTAAAAGAAACGTTTATGCCCAGATCCATTGTATATATGTGTAATTATCTAATTAAGTAGGACAGTATCTGGCGTAATATCTTTCTGGATATAGTATTTGATTTTATAATTGTAAAGACCAAGAACTATTCAAATATCTTATGTACCCGAGATTGTGAGCATCATATCATATCTGATTTACCTGTGTGCGTGTCCTTTTTATTCATCTGGAAAATATGCTTTCTCTAGGGTCTGTACTCTACGTCCTTAACCCATTATCTTCAACTTCTATTTCGCCTAACAAAAATAAGCAATATATTGATGCCAAACACTACAAGCCAACTGGACATTGTAGCCAAATCGAAGATAGAATTAGATGTAATATAAAATCAATACCATCAAAATATGTAGCAAAGAAGACATGCATGTACATATATACCAGGAAATATATCCAGATTTTATTAATAAGAAAGAATGAATATTTTTGCTCTCGTTTTCTTATATATCCTTATAATTTATTCAACAGTATATATGTGAGTTGTCAACTTTGAAACTATTTTGAGATTAGAGCTAGCTATATATATAAGCAAAAAAATTAACATTATAGATTTGATCAAGATATGTTTCAAAAGAAAAACTGTTTCAGATATTTATAGGAGTGTTACAACCACAGAACTTTTTATTCCAAATGAGGTAAAGCTATAGTATCTTAGCAGGAAAGGTGAAAAGTTTGCTCCATATACAATGTGTTGAATGGTGGCTATTGCATAAGAATACACGTACTGTATTGTACACCCCTTTGTGTGTGGGACTGGTGATGATGAAACATAAGCAGATATTTAAACAGTTGTTATGCTCAAACAAGCAAGTACTACAAAACATTTTCAACCAAAACTGGAAAGGTTCTTAAATAAAGAATTATTCATTACATCACATGTATATCTATACCACCATACATCACTGTGTTTTTTTAATATGGATGATCATAATCAAACAAACTAAAATATTTAGCTCAGTTATCTTTTGGATTTCCAAAATAAATATACGTTATAATAAACATGCATATTCGAACATCAAATATTAATCAACAACCCAATCAAGGCGATGGATTTTGGAAAACAAAGAGTTTCTATTTTTGTTCGTTTTTTACAATTGTTCAACTTGTTCCCTACATTGAGCTTTCTTTTGCTCAATTATATTTTGGGTTTCTAATATAAATATACAAACTTTTGCAACTTGCACCCTGCTCTATTCCGTTCCCACCACTTTCCAGCTTCGTTCCTCATCATCATCGCTAGGAAAAAGGTAGCTAGTCCGAAACATTATCAAACAAACCCCCTAAGAAAGAGAAAATGTTACAATGGGTCAATAATTCTTTGTTTCTTACAGTTCCCTAACCCCAATAACTCCATTTCTATGTTACTTCTCTTACCATTGCAAGTGCTTTCAACGCCATGACTACTTGCACTAGATATATTGACTCCAAACAGCCTAAACATGTGAACAGGTTGGACTTGTTCTGGAATATTGGAGCTACCTGACCCGTTTTTGGTCTTCCAGTCGATGAAAAGTTGCTTGTCTGAACCCGTGGATCTCTGAAAGCTCACAATGTCACCAGCTTTTAAGTTCTTTTCCTTCACGAACCGGCTCCACCCTTTGGTCAAAACGTAGCTCTGGCTACTATTCCAGTATGAGTAACGAAATCTCCATACTTTCATCCCGATGTCTTCGAAATGTAAAAGAACTCCTTTGGACGTGCTTTCGCTTTGCAACGGGAAGTGTTTCTCAGCGTGCTGCTTTGGTATCACTAACCGGTTTAGTTTTCCGACGTCGCTGGGGGTGACTGTTTTCTCAAAGAGTTGTTCCCGGGCGTTGACCAACTGTTGACCCGATCTAAACCCGTTTGTAAAAGGGGTTTTGTTTAAGTTGCAGCTTCTCTTACTTTGTTCTAGCTCATCATTGTATGTGTGTTTCCTCAACATATCGACGATCTCAGCTTTTGAATGGGAATTCAAGAAACTGGCTTCCATCCCGGCTTCTTCTGTGTCGGCTGGAAGCGGCTTGAAGTTGGTGACAGCATCGCGACCACGGAAGCGCTGAACAGCAGTATCATACGCTTTAGCAGCTTCATGTTCTTCGTTGAAGGTCCCAAGCCACACGCGTTGGTGTTTCTCGTAAATCTGTGCACCCCAACGGCCGTTTGGCTGTGGGACTACCCCTTTGAACCTTGACGAAGGCAGCTTCCTTGACTCGGCTTCCAAACCAACTTCCATGTCGAGAACCATGCTGCCCCCACTGCCGATCAGTGGAGGCGTAGTCACCGGTGCTGCAACTGTTGAAGTTGTTTCTGTAGTTGTGCTTTGATCATCAGTGGAACTTCCATCCATTGTAATTACTAATTAGTCTTCTTGAAGGAGAGAGAAACAGGAAGAAGAATGAGGTTCAATATAGAGAGAGAAATATGATGTTTATGAAGTGGGTGTAAGAGAAAGGTTGAGTATATATAGGAACACTTGAAAAGCTTGTTGTGTATGGTGCATATGTATTATAGTTTTATTAAGATTATCAAATAATAACTAATAAAATCTTATTTGTTTTTACTCATGGCGATATATGTGTGTGTGCGTGCTTGTTGATATACGTAAAATATACGGAAGAGATGTAGGTGAGGTGGGTCAACTCGGAGATGGTGAGAAACCAGGAAGATTCATGGCTACTTGTCATATACAAGTTGCATTATAATTATTGATGGATAATACAATATGTATATGCATACATGCACATTTATATACAAATACCTGTATGTATAGACAGTGTGCAGAGAGAGATGAATGAGGGTGTGCAAGTGGATGGGTGAATTCACATGAGAGGGGACCTAGTTTTAAGTGCATCCCCCCCCAAGCTTTGCTGATGGTATTACTGACTAAAAGCATGGTCTCTCTCTCTCTCTCTCTGTGTGTGGATGTGTGTGATGATGTTTATCTCGACTCTCATTGGTTTGTACCGAAAGAATCAACAAATAATAGAGAAGATTTTGATGAAATATGAGTTTAGATAAGATGACGAGACTACTTTTTCCCTCACGATACTTGTATTCATATACTTGCACGTACCCCAAATACACTTTACGTATATACATTTTTTATACTAATCACGCATTAGATGGATATATTGACTGTTTTGTATTATAAACCCACCAGTAAACAATTTTTTTGTATGGAATTTTTCTTCTTTCTTCTATTATTGTTATTAACAACTTTTTTATGAACACAAAGAACTTACAAAAAAACGCTACACTAGAATTACAAGAGTTTCCACATACGGGAAAATGGTATGTCTGTTTTCTGTTCCTAAAAAAAATAAACTTAATCCGTAAATACACCACATGATTTAGATTTAGTATTTGAAACTGATTTAGAAAAGTAACGAACTGTTAATTATTTTAGATAGTCATTTTTTGTACACCATTACAAGTAAACTATCAATGTTTATTCACAATATACATTTATGACCAACAATAATAGATTAAAGCTCACTTGTGATCTATGTGCCATTTATATTGCATTAACACTGCATTTGATATTAGATGATACATGATATAAGATAATTCTTCACATTTTCCCTTTTTTTGCCTTAAAATCACAAAATCAACCATATATTCTTCTTTTTACTCTTCTAGACAAAATCATGAATTACAAATTGAAAATCCTTGCAAATGTGGGTTACCTTCTCAATTGAGGACAAATTGAAAATCCTTTCAAAGCTGTCCTAACTCCATTGTAAATCAAGTTAAACAATTTTGATGTTCTTTGTACCCTTCTATTTTATTACCAATAACTACTAAGAAAAAAAATACAATTCTAGAATGGGTATAGAAGATTCAAACAAAAGTTAAAGTCGAATAATATTGGTGAAACCAAAAGTTTTGAACATCGTACTTAATATGGGAATGATTCTCATCATGGACATGGTAGACATGAATTTCACAACCTTCACTTTTATCGAGATCAATATTAATTTCAGGTTTAGCTTTTGTTCCACTAGAATTTACAAACAATTTGTTCAAAAATACATCTCAATTGTCTTGTCAAATGTTGCAACTTATTCTTAGTCTTCATGATCATAAGAAAGATTATCATAATGTTGTGAATCAACATATTTATCCAAGTTGTTCGGCATGATTCTGAAAGATCGGGGTCTTAGTTTCTCCAGGTCACAGTTAGTTTTGTTTTTAACAATAATAGATTAAAGCTCACTTGTGATCTATGTGCCATCTATATTGCATTAACATTGCATTTGATATTAGATGATACATGATATAAGGTAATTCTTCACCTTTTCTCCTTTTTGCCTTAAAATCACAAAATCAACAATGTCTTTTTCAGTTTACTCTTTTAGAAAAATTCATGAATTGCAAATTGAAAATCCTTGCAAATGTGGGGTACCTTCTCAATTGAGGACAAATTAAAAATCCTTGCAAAATGTGTTGTAACTCCATTGTAAATCAAGTTATATAATTTTGATGTTCTTTGTACCCTTCTACTTTATTACCAATAACTACCTAGAAAAAAAATACAATTCTAGGAATGGGTATAGAAGATTCAAACAAAAAGTTAAAGTCGAATAATGTTGCTGAAACCGAAGGTTTTGAATTTCATACCTAAAATGGGAATGATTCTCATCATGGACATGGTAGACATGAATTTTACAACCTTCACTTTTATCAAGAACAATATTAATTTCAAGTTTAACTTTTGTCTCACTAGAATTTACAAACAATTTGTTCAAAAATACATCCCAATTGTCTTGTCAAATGTTGCAACTTATTCTTTATCTTCATGATCATAAGAAAGATTATCATAATGTTGTGAATCAACGTATTTATCCAAGTTGTTCGGGATGACTCTGAAAGATTGGGTTCTCAGTTTCACCATGCCACTGTTAATTCTTTTAACAATAATAGATTAAAGCTCACTTGTGATCTATGTGCTATCTATATTGCATTAGCATTGCATTTGATATTAGATGATACATGATATATGGTAATTCTTCACCTTTTCCCCTTTTTTTTGCCTTAAAATCACAAAATCAACCATGTTTTATTTTGTTTACTCTTCTAGACAAAATCATGAATTGCAAATTGAAAATCCTTGCAAATGTGGGTTACCTTATCAATTGAGGACAAATTGAAAATCTTTGCAAAAGTGTATCCTAACTCCATTGTAAATCAAGTTATACAATTTCGATGTTCTTTGTACCCTTCTATTTTATTACCAATAACTACCTTGAAAAAAGAAAATACAATTCTAGGAATGGGTATAGAAGATTCAAACAAAAAGTTAAATTCGAATAATGTTGGTGAAACCGAAGGTTTTGAACTTCGTACCTAAAATGGTAATGATTCTCATCATGGACAAGGTAGACATGAATTTCACAACCTTCACATTTATCGAGATCAATATTAATTTTAGGTTTAACTTTTGTCCCACTAGAATTTACAAACAATTTGTTCGAAAATGCATTTCAGTTGTCTTGTCAAATGTTGCAACTTATTCTTTGTATTCATGCATAAGAAAGATTATCATGATGTTGTGAATCAACGTATTTATCCAAGTTGTTCGGGATGATTTTGAAAGATCGGGGTCTCAGTTTCACCAGGCCACGTTTAATTCTTTTAATTAGTTTATTAACCAAGCTGAGCTGATTGATATTCCTTTGGGAGGGCCTCGTTTTACTTGGTATAGGGGGATCCAAGTTTTGTAAAATGGATAGATTTTGGTTACGAATGGATTTGTAGGTTCATTTCCTCATATCACTAGCATGGTTTTGGAGAAAAAGCTCCCCGATCATCGTACTATTCTTCTTTTGGAGCATAGAGTTGACTATTGTCCTCATCCCTTTCGGTTATTTCATTCTTGGTTTGATATGGAGGGTTTCGATGATGTGGTTAGGGGTTCTTGGACGAGGGGAGTTGATTCAAAAAATCCTTGGGGTTATTTTTAACAACAAATTACAATTTTTTAAATCTAACATCAAGGTTTGGAATTTGTCTACTCGTGATAAGATTCACTACTAGAAAATAACCCTTTAATGACACGCAAAACATGACACGTGTAAGGTCCTAAAACGGATCTTTACCAATGATCAAGCAACAAACAATCAATAGCAATCACAATAGAAGTAGAAGAAGAAAAGAAATCAAGCTTGCACACGTTTATTGCATAAAACGTCTGCTACAACTCGACAGAATGAACTGTGAATACTATGGCATCAACAACTAGACAAATACCTACAACTCCTCTATATATACTTGACTTGGGCCGCAAACTGGGTTTACGGCCGTAAACCTGTTTACGGCCGTAAACTCACTCTTGGGCCGTAAACTGCTAAATAACACGAAAAACACACTAAAGACTCATAATGAACTATTACAATGAAAGCCTAGACCAAACCATTAACTGGACCCTTCAATCTCCCCCTTGGTTTGGTGCTAGCTTGGACTCAGTCTTTGTCAATCACCAGCACATCATATTTTCCCATAGCTCCGTTCCACATCTTCTTCTGAATAATCTCAGCAACCATCGAAGTGTACTCCTTAGCAGCGGACTCAAAAAGGTCTTCAGCCACCTTGATCTGATGAATAGAGAGCTGATGTATATCCTACCTACCAAACTGAAGCAGATCCCTCTTGTCATACAAGCGGATACAACCCTCTTTAAGCTTGATGACAGCAGAAGCTGTAGTTTTCATCAAACACCCAGTATTGCATGGATTTGAGAGATCCATCTGGATGATTTTGAAGGACAGGAATCTGCTTTACTTGAGCAGTAGCGGGCCACATCACTGACCGAAGTGGCTGACTTGTTTTGGGATCAATGACACTCGGGTAAATCTTGATAATAGACTCTGCAGTCTTCATTGAGGGAAATCTCTTAGCCACTTGATCTTCCAAAAATGTCTTGAACTGAGTCGCCATGGGATTATTTGATGGATTTGAGAAAGGAGCATTACACAACTCCGTAAGGTCAATCCTAGTCAAAGAGTGAAAATCGTGAGCATCTTTGTACAGTTCAGTATTGCCACTCTTTATTCTCACGATCCACATGTTCATAGTGTCATGGAATCCCCACGAAATGATCCCTGACCTATCACCATAAATGTCTCTGAAACGATTTTCTCCCAGATCCGTAAAGGTGATCTTTGATTGATCCCAGGGAGCATTCTGATCTGAGCTCCTTTTGAATAAAAATTGACCCTTTTCAGCTGACTTGGCCAATTTAGCTCGTTTCAATGCCACTACATTCGGAGCCTGCGCCGGTTCCTTGTCAAAACGATCAACAACGGTGGTTGTTCTTGTAGGTTGTGGAACTATGGGAGCATCTTGATTAGGAAGATAGATCTTTGGCTCATCGACAGATGACTTGAATTTGTCGCCAAAATCTTCTTCCAGCTTCTTCTTTAGATCGTAGTAGCTGGCGGTCAATAAGCCAAAATGCGTCTG